CAATACAAACATACACTGAATTCATTTTTCAGGCCTTTAGTCATTACACCTCTCCTTATATTGCTCGCGTTACTGCTGTTGTGTACGTTTGTATTTCGTGACAGAACCTACCCAGATCTGACAGTTACTATTGACAACAGGTAACACAATTATTTGTGATAAAGATCATGAAAAACTTGAAGTTGTAATTTGATGGTTATTATGCTTGATGATTTTACATTCTAGCATACTACAGCTGTCAATTGAAAGCACTTTCTTTTCTTTTAATACTGACCGATGTCATTTGTCTTACAGGCGTTTGTTTGACATTATGTCATATTTCTTCTTCTTCTTGAATATCTTGGTKGGGATATGGTCTGGACTTTCTCGTATTGTAAAAGGTGCAGCTTTGGGCTTGGTATTCCTGTGTCGACTTGAYMGSACRTCAATGATGACGGGCTATAGGAAATGGGACAGAGGTGAGATATAACAGCATCAAAAAAGATGTGCAAAGCGATAGCTCACTCTGGATTGTTCAGTGCAACACGGCAATCATGTACACCCGATATTTATTTGAAGGCCACTGAGGTTTCAGACTGGAAATTTCAATATTCTCTTGAATGTTCGAATTTATTATAACGCACGCATGCGTATTGAGCTATGCTGGTACTGAGTGAAGAGGCTTATAACTCCTGAACGTAGTTAATCAGTTAATGCAGTATTAARGAATAAGCAAATAAATCGTTCAATAAACAGCAGCACTATGGACATCAGCACTARGTTGCTGATTAATACGTTTTCTCATATTTCTAGGTTACATGGCTTACATTGGCTTTCTTAATGTCCTTGTTGCATTCAGACATCCCGTCATGCTTTGCTTCTGCCAGCTTTTGATTGACGAGCAACAAAAAGTGAATTTTGGTAATTGATTTAAAATTGAAGATAAAGCATTGAATTGGAAGGGAATTAAAACATGGAAAAATGAGAACTGGAGGAATGGTTACAAAATTCAAGGGGGTTATTGATATAGAAAATTGAAAACATACTGCATATTTTATTTATGTCCAGGTTTTCCCGCAAGGAGGGAAAGGCCTCGCGTGTCAGCAAAAGCTCTCAACCGATGGTTCTTGGCGATATTTCTGAGCCACAACCCCAGCCTTCGTCGCTACAGGAAACGATCTGTATTTGGTTCTGAAAATAAATATCCCTCTACCACTGTTGACATTTCAACCATTGTTTTAGAGGACGAGCGAATGCCATGCGAATTACAGAGTAGTTATATGTACTAGTAGTCAACTTATATCAGTACTTGAGAGTCTCATTATGATTCACCGAGATGACTCTGACATATAACTTTGTTAGAAATGTGCCCCCCATGTAGCGGAACTCTTTTATTTTTTAGGGTCCCATTACTTTTTTCACATAAACTCGGCCACTTTATTCTACTTTAGATGCTCTCGCTTTTATAATGACGCTTGTTGTGAAGTTTATCGGTATCAACGTGGTCCAGTTTCTAAAATTTGGTTGCGTTTTTAGTATTGTTTTGTCAAAAGTTGAGTTACTCAGAATAACAGGGTGTAATTAGGTCGATCCAAAAGTTTAAAATAATAGTAACGCAGTGCCGGATCCAGGATTTTTCAAAGGGGGGTTCCTCTTTGTTTTCGCATTTTCCTAAAACGAACTTTTTTACTGTGCCTCTCGAACTGTAGCAAATGTAGCGTGAATGTATTGAATAAAAATTCATTGCACGATGCGTTTTCATTTTATTTCATTTATCATTTATTTTTTTATGCTTGAGGGGGGTTCCTGGGAATCCATGGAACCCCCCCTGGATCCGCCACTGTAACGCTCACAACCATTAGAATAAATGTGTATTGATGAATTGCCAGGCTGTGAATTATTATTTTGAAATATAGTTTGTTCAATCAATAGTTGGTCGTTTAGAAAAAATATTTGAAGATTGAGAAAGTAGAAAGCTGAAAAATTACCCGTGAGTCGTGAAAATGAGAAAAAATTAGCCGTGAGGCGTAAATTTAAAAAATAAAAGCTTTAGTGGAGATCTTTCAAAATTTTGCCTTGCAAGATTTTTTTCCCGGCCTTTCGGGCCGTGCAGGAATTTTTTCCCAAATCTTCCACTCCCCCCACCCCCTCAAAATTCTAATGGATCGCACCTACCAACAAGATCCCGCAGACAAGTCAGGGCATGAACAAAATTTGACATTTGAGAGTGATGATAAAAAATTATAATGACTGAGTGTCTATAACGTACAAGGGATACTGTGCTCCCACACTCACTATCTCTAGATCAAAACTAATTACATGAAAAACAGGAGCCCATGAGAACTCAAAATGTATACATTTTAACGGTCAGCATTGAAAGTGAAGGTATCATCACTTCAAACTAAGAAATTGTGATGGTGTTGATAATGACTTAGGTAGTTTGCGAAACGAAACGAGACGAAACGAAACTGCGAAATCTCTAGTTTGTGAAAATTGCAAAGTGGTATCCCGGTGATGTCACGCATATAGTTTGTTACGCTGTCAATTCCGAGAAAGGCCACATGCAGCTGCTTCGTCATGATTGAGTGTATGGGCTGGTAGCTGCTCCGTAGTACAGAAAGCAATCAAGAAAGCCGAAAGAACGTTGTACAAATACAAGTCTTCAATATGTCTTACAAGTAAGTAATGGGCTAACATCGCCCTACATTATATGACTCAAAAGGTCAGCAGACGAAGAAACTTCAACTATGCATTTCTGAATCTGAGAAGTAGACCGACAAATTAACAGAGGTCATACTAGAAAATACTGCAACTATATTACTAGTAAAACCATACGGTTCTTAAAGCAAAGGAAAACGAAAAAGAAGTTCAAATAATAGCAAAAACAGTGTTCTGTGTTTTTTAAAGCCAAAATCATCAACATCTCAGTGTAATTGGAAGTAGTGTTTTTGACGTGTAGACAGTAAGGATCGGCGAGAAAGCCGCTTTTGCTCTAAATAATATTGTTGTAAAGCTATGAAACATGCTACTATTTCATGAAATCAGCGTTCTCGGCTTTTTCTCGGTTTGCAGATAGTCAAAAGTATACATTCCTTTCGTGCATCTTTGCTGTCTATTAAAACAATAGAGTAGTTAAATTATGTATGTGATTCACAAGAACGATTTTCAACATAAACAATAGTTATTACATCCATAATTGTATTCATTGATCATTGATTTTTACATATACCAGCAAAATGCGGAGACTTGCTCAAAGAATGAAATGTTATGCGTTAATTATCATTAGAATATTAATGTTTTGTACAGCTACGTGTTGTAGCTACGTGTTAATAAGAATTTAGGGGCAGAGTAACAAAGAATTGTTTACAAATGTGCAAATTCAGTAGAGTGAACGCACTAAATCCTAGCCTGTGTACATCCGTTTCTCACCCCTCCAAAAAAATCGATTGTTTTGGAGGGGTGAGAAACGGATGTACACAGGCTAACTAAATCCGTGAAACAAATAATACTAATTACTACTAAATAGTATTGATTAACAATAGGAAAACAAAGGAATTAGCAGAATTATTTTGTACTATTTAAGTTTCATGGATTAAGTGTATTCACTCTATAAAAAGGAGATGACAGTAATTCACAACATTCTAACACAACTGAACTGAGTCAAAGCTCAATCTTCCGCGCAAATTCTAGACTTCACAGAAATTTTAAAGCAATAATAATGTGTACGTTCTCATAAGGCGCGGGAATTTTAAATCAGGTCTCACCAACATTTTTGCCTACACTCGAATCTTAAACTCCTCTCACACTTGGGTGTTTCTCCTTAAGTCTCTGTATCTTTATCTCCAGAGGAGTAAGTTCTCCGGCATCTTCTTTATCTTCTATTATAAAAGAAGAGCAAGTTGTTACAAGGTTTTGGGATGACAAACCCTTACACACTCCTTTAGTTCCTACCTTGTTCTCTATGTGTCTTCTTGTTGCTCGAAAATGTTGTTGTATTGCTGCTACGTTTTCGAGATGGCATAACGTCCATCCAAAGGTTGATTTGTCCCTTCTTTTCTAAAGACAATGCTTCAGCTAAATGCACATTATTCGTGATGTTGAAACGACGATTTCCCTCGAAGTAACCCAATTCGAAGTTCGCATTTTTAGCTTGTGTTTCGCCGTGGTAATGGTCTGCAATAAACTGCTTCAGTTCCAAAACGCTGCTAAAACGTGGAACGGCTTTCAATTGAAAAAACGAGTTTCGTTTGAGTTTCGTTTGTTTCCTGGGTTAAGAACCCTCAAGCAAATATCTACAGTTGGTGTATCCATGTTCCAGTAAGGCCAACGCACTTAGCAAAAAATGAATATCATTAATTAGGTAACAACAATTCTTTTCGGTCGTGCAATCTCCGTTGGACATTTCCCATTCGCCGTTCTCTCCGATAACCTTTTTTGAAATAAGTGTATGTATGTATGTGGTCTGAGATAGTGTAATAAATGTTGTAAGTGAATGAGTCCCAGTAGCTCAGTGGTTAGAGCATCCGACTAGAATACGGAAGGTCGTAGGTTCGAATCCCATCTGGAGCTCAGGTTTTCTCTGAGCTTCTAATTTATTAATGGTAAGATCATTCATTTACAACATATGTTTTTTTTATTTGTTTATTTTTCCTTACATGAGGAATTAGCCTCATGTAGTACACAAATGAGTACACAGGATTGTACAAAAATTAACCCTGTGTATCACAGGAAATTTGATTGAAAGGTGTTTGTTTTGTTAATTACTACTAACCAAATAACTCAATCGTTAAAACCCCCGGTATTTGCCCGGGGGGCGGGGGTTTCAATTGACTGGTGCATTATTTGTAAAACTTTGATGCTATGCATAATAAGCGGGCTGACAAAACCATACTAACACACCCTTTACATTGTTAACTGGAATTCTTGAGGATTGTTGTTGAGGCAAGGTCTACAAGATAGCACGAAGTACGTTTTCCAATTTTGAACTTTAGTATTACCGTGTCCAGGCCGAAGCAATTAATGTGGGAGGGAGGGAGAGGACACTTGCAACAATGCTCTTCTCTCCACTTTTCTTCTTCGTCAGTCAGTATTTTGCCTGATAATCATGATTGCTCCAGCATATCAGCAGCACTTCTGCTTTAAAAAACAAATGTGTCTTTTTCTTTCTAGATGTTTAGTGGATGAAAACTCTTACATTATGGGGATGCTAGCACCTTCGGTAAGAATTTATAATTACATGTTGCTTTAGCTACGCTTTTTGACCATAAATGTTCTTTATTCAGATAAATTTTTCATCCTCAGATCCTCGGATATTATTAGCCAATTTATCCCATCCGTTTTATCCCATTACTTTTTTATTTCTGCTTATGTCACGTGACAACTGACTGAACTCATGATGAGAGAATTTGACTCAAAGTAGAGAAAAAAGTAGAGGAATTTATCACCAATAGTCTCCTTTTTCAAATATGACAAGTTATTTTATATTCTCAAGACACAAGACATTAATTAATCTAGTTAATTACATGTAACTCAATTAGCCAACAAAGCTTTAATAATTGATGATAATTGAATACTTATAGGGAGCCGAGCCCGTTTCATAAAAAATATATTGGATGGGCAGGATCGATCGATGAATGACTATGTTAATGAAGAATCTATCGAGCCATTTTATTGGCTTGGAGACAGGGAAAATGTATCCGAACAATCTATGTTTTGATTGCGTTCTAAAACTTAGAACAGTCGCAGATTAAAATTGCTTCACTGATATTTTTTCGTCAGATGCTAATCATCGTTGTCTTGAGTTTTATGAAGAAAAGAGTGCGATTAAAACCTAACTTGCTGAATGGTCGACCTGGATTACTCAGGTAAGTATGTTGCCAGATTCCGGTGATGTTTAAAGTGTATATGTGGATAATCTCTAATACGTCGTTTTTTATTGCAGCCCAGTTAGTTTCCTGGGAAAAGAGAGGAACAGGCTGATTATTGTACTTGCTTTTGGTGCAACCGCATCTTCATGTTACGAAATGTTTACTTATGAAGCCGTTGCTATCAAAAATGTACCAAATACACCGTACGGAAAAGGTAAAGTACTGTGTTGTGTAATGTTTTGTCATCCGTTTTATGATTGGTAGTATTAGACTTGTTTCTATTTGTCAGCTTTTAATGGGATTTTCCTGTCACTGCTATATGGAATCATCAACTATCCATATTTGGCCTGTCTTAACGCCGAGTACAGATTGATTGGTTACGCTATTGGTCTTCTTTACACCTTCATTAGGTAAGATGACTGTTGGGAATTCAGATCAATAGTATTATATTTTATTCCATATAATTTAAAGCAGAGAGGGTTAGATTTTTTGAATTCAATATATGCTCTTCTATCGTTTACTCAGTCTCAATCTATACATCATTTTCACGCGTTTATCAACTATGTTTACATCCTCGGGAACCAAGGGGTAATCTTGTGTCGTTCGTTCCTCACTCTTAAGTCTGTAAGTCCTAGTTCTCGATTCGAAATTCAAAATGGCGGCCGGTGATTATTTCAATGTAACCCTATTAACTTGAGGCTTATTCAGTCCTGTTATTTATCTTTAGATGCACCGTTGATTTGGTCGTGATTTTTGGCTGCACATCAGACTCAAAAGAAATTGTAAGTATACACGGTCATCATTGCTTAGATTTGTGCTAGGGTTAAGGTATAGTCGTATACAGGGACATCCTTTCTCATTAGCACCGCATGTTTTCACATTTTTCAGGATGATTTCTTAACGTCATATAAGCTCCTCGTTCATTTGCCATCAGTGATTTGTACAATCCTTCTTTTTGCGAGCTACGCGATTTTCCTGTTCCAAGAAATACGGAAGATCTATGCAAATAATGCTCATCCAACATGTCAGGAAATCTTTGTAAGTAACTTTCTGTCTGTCCTTTTGCACATCTTTACTACAAAAAGACTCCTGACTTGGAACTTCTTTTTACTTGAAAATGCACGTTTCCAAAGCAATTTTTTATTTTACAGCTGATCGGTGGGGAAAGAGATGAGCCTGTGGCAGAGGACATCGACCGCAATCATGTCTCGCTGTTACTGGCAAACAAGCTTTACAGTAAAAGGTAAGTAGCACGTACGATGACTAAAAGCAATTTGGCAGTATGGGGTACATCATGGCCAGGTTATCGTTAGTAAATTCTTCGCACAAAGTATTAAGAAAAGTCATACATGTGTAGCGAACCCTGTCAAATTTTAAACACTGCGCAGGAGATATAGTGGCTGCCCATTCGCCAGACCCTTTTAAGCTCGCTCCGTTTGACTGTATGTTGATCCCGGGAAAAAGGGACCAGAATAACTTTCATGCGAATATGTTGTATCACAACTGTTATATAAATGGTGTGACTAGGTGGACTAAGCTATCTGCACGGAGTTGTGGTGTTTGTCAGGTCATAGGTCTATCTTGCAAATATACAGTTAATCGGTATACTATTGGTATAATAGGTATATCGGTATAATCGTGAGATAGTCGGCGTCCAGGTTGAGAGAGCCCGCATGAGCTGGCTGAGATCATTTAACTTGGGTTTGTAATAAAATAGAGATTAGAGCCTAAGCATGACGTTCACGGTAAACGCCAGAAAAGATCACGCGACCTGTTTTGGGGGGTTTTCCGTTACAGTTTCAACGCGAGAGTGGGTTGTTTTGAGTTTGGCATAACCGTGAAAAATCGCTCTTTTAAATGACTACCTAAAGCACAAGGTCAGGCACGAAATTCTTGGCACTTTTACTGCAAACCCCTAAAGTCAAATTGGCTTTGACGCTTTATTTTTAAAAATGTAAAATACACATAAAGGCTCCGCGGAGCCGGGTAACCTCCCCCGCCCCCTCATGAATGAAAACATTCATCTAAATTCATCTTGCACTATTCGGAAGTTGTCTCGTCCCGATTTTGCCCCCTCCCCTCCCTCCCCTCCCCCACAATAAAAGTTATGCTTCGCGGTGCCTGTTTCAAAGAAATAGTGCTCATGTACGAGAAAAACGATCTCATTGCATACCAACACAATGAAACGGAAAGTAAAAGCAGAAAAACAATGATCATGTGATTATTAGTTTTGAGGCTTGGCGTTTGCCGCGCTAAACTTGAATCCGGCTTAAGATTTTAGGGCAGACAAAGTGATCTAACGTTGCAGTCGCGGTGTGTTTCTATTCAGAGTCCTTGTCGAACACGAACCTTGGTATATCACTGTCAGACGAAAGATATATGAAACCCGTCCAGGTAAAGCTACCTTTGTTTTACTATACTGAGGACATTGTCGGGTAGGGGGAGGGGTTCCCTTGCTCAAATGACAAGAATGATTGTGCATGAAAGCAGAACGAGCGAAACACGGACTTTGTGAAAGTTTATAGATTTTCGCCAATATAGCACTTTAATACAATTTATAACGTCTTTTTACAGATTTCAAGTTTTCTACGCAATTTATGTCTGCGGTGTTTGTGTCGCTTATCTTCATTTATCAGGTAACTTTTCTAAAAGAGATTTTATGGTAAAGCCTTTCCAGCCTGCGGAAAGCATAATTCCAATGTGATCTACACATATTAAGGAGGGTAATTTCTTGGTAATTTGAAAAATGTTTTTAAAAATACTAATTAAATAACTAATTAAATAGCCTTGTGAATTGTCCCATAGATAGCTGCTACGTTAATGCATGTATTGGCATTCTACAAGAAAATACTAGGCATGATTACTGGGAACCCAATTGTTCAACGAATGTTAAAGACCTTCTTCGGTTTGTATCCAATTATATCTGTATTTGTATCCAATTATCCTATTATGTCTATTAACAGCTATCATACCATTGGACTAGTCTAGCGGGAAAAGTTTAAAACCTGGACCCAAAGCCACTCAAAATTGTCCAAAGATTCTCAAAATCGCCTTGAGTGGTTTTGTGCAATATTTACTAAAATAGCACAGAGTCGCTCAGAGGTACGACGACTTTGGTTCCCAGAGTAGGCCTGCGCTATAAATAGCACTAGTACACTCAATCTCGTTCCAGAGCCCGCGTTCCTCTTGGCCTGAGGGCGCGAGCAACCACGAACTCTGGCCTAATCCATATTTTTCATCAGATTTTCTGGTGTTCCGGTTAAATTGCGCATGCGTGTCAAAAAGAAAAATGGCGGAAAATTTGTTTTATAGTTCGCTAGACCACGGTCTAGCGGCTATATGAATGCCAAATTTAGCTTTGAAAACCAAACAATTTGAAATTTTAGAAAGTGTTGTTGTGTTTGCCGGTAAAGACATTTGAAATTTTGAATTTTTTCGCTAATACTAACGAGATTTGTGGCGCACAGTCTACATAAATATCCAGAGAAACCGTTGTCTTCATGTATGTTATCTACTGAGCATATATCTTGCAAAGACGTTAAAATGCCCTCTCTCTCTTCGACTTGTTTCCAAACAAATCTACTTTGTAGCGATCTAAAAGTTTATAAACTTGCTGCGCCGCCGCTTTCTTCGGAGAAGACATTGCGCTACACTCTGTTGCTACACTTTACAATTAATTTTTGTTTACAATTTTGAAACATCTTCAGTTGGGCTAGGACTCCTCGTCGCGCTCGCGCCGACACGTCGCTCGCGCCCGAATTTTGGCGCTGTATTTCGCAACTATGATTGGTCAAATTTTACTTCCGGAGACGTCCGCATTCGTAATGAGGAAATTCTATCGACCAATGAAAAGCGCGCAAAAGAGTTCGTGGTTGCTCGCGCCCTCAGGCCAAGAGGAACGCGGGCTCTGGAACGAGATTGGTACACTGTATGTAGCGTTAAAGCAATGGAATATTTTGATGTTACGTAATTATGCGATAGGGCAATACTCTCCTTCACGGTTACCCGCGCCATGTTGAAAGGTAGCCGTACCTTTTCATCGAAGCGAGACAACCGTTGAGCGTGCAATGATAGAAACCTGTGAATAATTGTCTGTAGCATAGGCTACCCAACTATTGCTTGAGAGAAAGAAAAAAATGAATGCGCACGCTTTTATATTATGTTATCGAATCGGCGTGCGCTGTGGGTTACCTGTGGTATTACCTGTGGTATTACGTCACTATCGCGCGCCTCGCGGGATACAAACTAGTCTGTGACAAGGTATGAAACACTGGTCACGTGATGGATCGATGTGTGCACCAGGCAGCTGGGCATAAGATCTGAAACTATTGCGTCATCATCGGAAACCGAGCGGACTTCCAACTCGTGAGATTGTCGAGAACTATCGTGAACCATCGAGACTTTCACGGAGTACTTTCGTAATTCCCGAAGTATGTAGCTTTTACATCACATTTCTTGACGTCCTTTGTGTATAGTTTACAAAACAAAACAAAACATGAGCGAAATTACTCCAAACTTTGAGCAAAGGAAAGCCGTAGACCTGGCTATGTCTGGACACAATGTTTTTCTAAGTGGCAGAGCCGGTACAGGGAAAACTTTCACGGTCAAATACCTCGTGAAAATGTTGGAAAAGCACAAAACCTT